GTTACACTTTGGTTGTGTGATACCTTTGTGTATTTGATGTTTATGCAACAAAAGTGTAAGTGATTAAGACAATGCATTCGAAAGAGAAGGGCTCCGGAAAGGCAAAACAGCAGTTTCGGATTTGCTGGAGGGAAAAACGCCACAGTGTTAATAAAAGAGGGCAGCGGTTATAACGGATGTTAGAATTTTCTGTGTGGCTTCTGTTTGTTAGACGATACTGTTTTTCAATGAGAAATGTTCTCTATCTCTACGAGGGTACTTACTCAGTTCTTACCTGAGCTGCTACAAGCTATTCTTGTCTCAAGACCTGAAGTGAGCGCTTATAATGTGTAGAGATTGGCTTGAGTTATACATAAGGAGTAATAGTGCTTAGCAGACAACTTAAAAAACAAGGGACTGACTACCATTTTAAGTTGAGTAAAAACATTCAGACCTTTTCACAGAAAATCCTCTCGGACTCCTAATCGTTTGCCCTGTTTTTAACATATGTGGTCTAATTAAAACTAAATTAAGAATAACTCTAAAAAGCAAATAATTTTGTTTAGTAATCACTAGCTCATAAAGTCCCTTTAACATTAGAGACAATGATTGCCTCACTTTTAAAAAGGAAAAGAAAACTAGATGCATGTCTGAGTCTCATGTGCCTGAGAGAACTTTTTTGTTCCTTTCAATTTTATGTTAATAATATTTTATTTTACTCCATTGCCTTTTAAAGTCTAAGTTTAATAGCATGCCAGGCATTTTCATTTGTATAAACCATTCTAAACTTACTAGTAAGCTTTCAGTTTTCCTTATGATAGCATCATTATTAGTTGGGTTTCATTTAAAAGGATGCATTCAAATACACAATTTAAGGGTTTGGGATGGGGGAGCGGTGGTTGAGTCAGGGTGGTGGGTGGTATCCTAATTTCTTAATCAAATATTTATGTTTACGTATGCATATAATTTTGAAAAATTTCTTTCCAGACTTGAGGTTTTCTTCTATATCATTTTCACTGAAATTATCTTTTTTTTGATAAGTTGGCTAAGTAACATCTATTTGTTCTATTGATTTATCTCTTCCTCTGCCTAGTTAATTTTCCCTTTGAGAGGAGTAGAAAATATATACTTAAAGACCTTGTAAAGACACTGAACATAAAGAGTAAAGATAGCAGGATCATTAGGTAGAAGTATTATAAAGTTCTCTGAATGCCTCTTTGGAATTATTTCTGTCATTGGGAATGAGAGTGGGGTCAAAGTCTTCCATAGTCTGTTTCCTGGCTCTGTCTACTATTGACTGACTTTCTGACCTTAGACAATCCACTTAACCTCTTTATATCTCAGATTTCCTATCTGAAGAGAGGAGAAATAATACTATTTCCCAAGGGTGTTCTGAAGTTTAATTAATTAGTCTTTGTGCAACACTGACTAGAGACGTGCCATGATTTAATTTAAGCAGTATGTGAACTTGGTGTCCAAATGAGGTAACAATTAATGACTTCCAAGAGGATGGACACCTAAAACAAAAGTCCTCTGCTATAAATCCTGTACTGATGTTACAATCGTATTTTTAATTATTGATGGTAGAATAATTCTTAGACTGAAGTATATTTGTATGTGTGTGCTTATGCATACACATGGTCACATTATAAAAACATGACTGATCATAAGGAGTGAAAAGTATGAGAATAGTGATAATATGGCATTGATTTTGAGAAATTTGGGGCAAATGATAAAAAGGGAAACTTTCTTTAGCTATTCCTTTATGTTGTCCATAGGAAGAGGGTAGTGATGGTTATTTCTTACTTATTCACTAACTTTTGTTTAGCTCAGAAATAAATCAATCTGAGGAAGAAATTTCAGCAAACAGGGTGTTTCACTCTGTGACTGCTAGCCTTGCTTCTCTTCTTCAGCCAAGGTACAGAGGTCTAGGAGAGGCATTTAAAATAGAAGAAAAGCAGATCTATGCCCCTAGAAGACCATGAAACAAACAAGCAAACAAAAATCCAAATACCTGTTATGGTATAATGGAATATTGAAAAATAAATAACCCCTTCCCTTACCAGTATCTTCTTCCCAAGCAATGATTAGTCAGATCTCGCTGGAAAAACAGATAACCAAGAGTGGAATAGTCTAATATTATAGCCCAAGAAACATTTCTTGTCTGTCCTGATACTTCAGTCGGCCTTGAACAAAAGCCACTTTATGGAGTGAATTATGGCAACTAGATTCAATGCAATCTATCATTTCTAGCCAGTGTAATTCAGCTTTGCATTTCAATTTTCTCTGACCCACTTTTTATTTGTAAACATTCGCAGAATAATACCACTGGAAAAATAAGATGAGAGCCATTATAGAGGTCATCATTGTAAAGTACTTTCAAGAATATTAAAATATAAAACATTCTACCTATTGTCAAGGATAACCACTAACTGATCACCAGTCTGGATTATAAAGAAAGAGATGGATAAATATTCTAATTGACCAACAATTGTGTACATGGAAAAAAGCACCTACTATATACTCTAATATATTCAATTTTCATCCTAGAATTCTACTGAGAAACTTCTCATTTATTATGTTAACCTACCCCAAAAGCCTTTGTGAAGTTGAGAGAGTATTTATTCTCTCCTTCCATAATGCCAGGATTTTTTGTTTGTTTGTTTCTTTGCTTTTTTTTCATTAAGCTTAGGGCTTCTGGAGGTGAGGAGAAGTTGTGTTAAATAAACAATAAAGAAGTGTGAACTCCAGGCTACTACCCACTGTGAATTCCAGGCTACTACCCAGTGTTGTGCATTGAGCTTCTTACTGCATCTTGGGTGAGGAAGACAAAGGCCAAAGGACAGGCAATGATTCATATGCACAGGACACTGGAGAAATTGGTGAAAAAATAATGGAAATCTATTAGAGCTATTCTAATTGCACTCTTGGGATCTGAATAGTTCTGTTATCATTAAATCTGATAGATCCCATTTCTAGTCTCCAGAGATTCTTATAAAGTGCAGATCATTTTAACTATAAAAAAATTTATCTGGCCAATTCTCTGTACTTTAGTATTTGAAATCTCCAAAGAGAAATTATTTATAAGTTCTCCTTAACTAGTACCCTTAAGAACTGCCCAATGAGGAGTTGACTCCTGTCTGAAGAGTCCTGTCTGAGCAGATGCATTTTTCTTTCTCTGCCCCTTTCATTTCTTCCACTATTATACATTAAGGAGGTATTCCAAAGTACACATCAGAAATTCATGTATATCAGGGCCAGCAGATGGCATAATGGTTACGTTGCTGGACTCCCATGTAGTCAACCACAGTTGGAGTCCCAGACCTGGTGACTTAAAACCCTTGCCAGGAATGTGTGTGTGTATGTGTGCCCAAAATCCTGAGAGAATGCAGGAGAAGGAATTGCATGTGGCCATCCCCCCTGGGGGGTGATTTCTTGCTTTCTGTCTCTCTCTCTGTGGCAAGCACACACACCCTAGAGCAAAAAATATCTCTCTCTAAAGAAAAGAAAGGAAGAAAGAAAGAAAGAAAGAAAGAAAGAAAGAAAGAAAGAAAGAAAGAAAGAAAGAAAGAAAGAAAGAAATTCATGTATATCTAAGCATTGCATGGCCTTGAAGACCATGTAATAGTGGAAGAGGTTAAGGGCACAAACATCACAGTATGCCCCTGTTCATGTTAGAGATCATGGAGCAAAAACCTCAGCCTGTTAAAAATATCCTACCTTAATTACGCAGTCAAGAAAAATAGACGATTGTTTCTAGTTATTTATAACTAAAATAATTCAGGTGATTAGATTAAGAATGAATAGAGCGTTGTCTGATCACTGATTAAAATGGAGAAACAGTTCAGAAGGGATATACTTAATTCCATTAATAAGTCCTTTTTTTCCTTTCTCTCTCCATATGGAAAAGCAGAAGGAAGTAACCTGGGGAAATAACAGTAAAAAAGGCCTTCACATGTTGCTGTCCTGATAAATTACAATGAGTTTTCAAAAGATGTTTGAGTTTGTCCAGATAAGATCTAGTACTAGAGAGAGGTTTTTCTAAGTAGAAATAGTTGGGAGTAAGATTAGTTGAGTTCCACTGTTCTAAACTCTATTCGGCCATGATTCATTCCGATAGTTTTTCCCCATGGAAGTATAGATGATCCTCAAAAGGAATTCCAAATAAGGTGAACTACTGATGATCTTCAACCCACTAACATAGCTCTCTATTACTTGAAAAAGTTTTGTGTGTTGATTTCCTTATTAATATCCATCCTCCTTTTACAAAATGTATTGAGTGTCAATGACATTTTTTTCCCCAGTCCAGGAACATTATCAATGAATACTTATTTTTTAATATGTTAGGGAACATATTAGTTGTGTAACCATAAGTCCACACCAACAAAAATTAAGAGATAAGGATTTATCTTTCAGGATATCATTAAATAGAAAATATAGATAGAATAGTATCAACTATAAAGATGTATAAGAAATGTGTTTAGTGACTAAAATGTTGATTTTTACAAGTATGCAATGAATCCAACTGGAATTTAATTTCAGTTAATTTAGTGATCAGACTTCGTTTGGAAATTCAATGTTCTAAATCACCTTACTGAATTTTTGTTTGCCACATACACCTTATTTTAGTTGTCATTGTGTTATTCTGTAGTTTAAAAATTAGTTCAGAAAAACTTATGATTTATTGTGATCATCACTTGGTTAGATGTTTCTTTCTGTCGTCCACAATTACATACCCCAAAGAAATGCAATACTTGTCATCCTTGAATAAAGATTTCTTCTTCCTTAGAAGAAATTGTATCTTCCTTTATTTAGATTATCTAAGATTTTCAGCTAGACAGTGGAAGAGATAACCACAGTGAAATGTTACTTGCCAATGCTTGTATTAAATATTCGTTATCTATTTTTTTCTTTTTTATTTACTCAAGGAAGCCTGTTATGATGCCTGGTTCATACAGACCAGGTAACCCAAAGAAGGAAATGTATGGGAATAATAATATTTCCTCCACCCAACCCACTAGGCCGGCAGTTAACCATCTTCAACACTCAGGCGCAAATAGCCATTGGTGGAAAGGACAAAGGACGCCTCTTCCAAGGCCAACTCTCTGGGCTCTATTATGATGGTTTGAAAGTACTGAACATGGCAGCTGAGAACAACCCCAATATTAAAATCAATGGAAGCGTCCGGCTGGTGGGAGAAGTGCCATCAATCTTGGGAACAACACAGACAACCTCCATGCCACCAGAAATGTCTACTACTGTCATGGAAACTACCACTACAATGGCTACTACCACAACTCGCAAGAATCGCTCTACATCTGTTCAGGTAAACCCATTTCCAACTATTAATTGCTTCTGCATCTTTGTCTTAGAACACTGATCATGAGAGTAACCTTTCAATGTAGCTAAGAGTTGAAATTACTCTTTTTGTAAGGAGGATGCCTCCAGATTCTCACCGTAAAAAGACCAAAGAATAGAGAAAGATAAAACCATTGCTAAAAAGTTACAAATGTCTTGTGGCACTCATGTTATTATTTTTTTATATTTATCACTAAAATGGTAAATTTATTATTCAAAATGAGCAGTAGACCACACTTTCAGTATAAAATACTCCCTTCTCTCATGTTATTGCCTTTCTTTTCAAATAGAAAAAAGAGAAAAGATGAAATAAAAATTTGTTGTATTTAAAAAAATTCTAGTTCAATTCTATTCACATCCTCCAAATGGCTTTGCTAGAGCATAAATCATTCATTATTGAAGCCAAAGGGTACCATTAAATCAAGGGCAATTGAAGCTAGAAATTCAACTAATCCTTGTAAAACATAGTCTTTGTTTTTGATATTAAATCTTCGTTTGTCATCATTATTTTTTTCCATTTTTGTTTCCTTCATATTTGACCAAGATACTAATTACATTAGAATATTTGAAAGTTTGTGTTTAGTTGTGCAGGAAATCTTCCATTTGGTGGTAAGGTTTTTGTTTTTCTACTTGAAAGTAATTATAGCCAAGCTAAAGCTTAATACTTTGTTGTATCCCTTGGTATTTCATAAATCTAGTTAGTAGGGAGTAGGAGGTTAATCAAGTTATTAGCTTTAAATACTCTGGCATAAAATAGGATATTCCAGTTGCTTGTGGGAAAATTACCCCTAGCCTAGTTAGTGTTTGTAGAAAATTCAGTGGATCAGTACTTGTCCCTTCCGTTTCCTAAAGACATTATCCAGGAAGTCAACAGAGTCTTTGGCATCTCCCTTCCATTTATTTCAGTGGATGCTGTAAACATAAAAATTAACAACCAACTAAGCTCCCTATGTGTTTCCACTTTTTTGAAGTAAGTTTGTGTAAGTTAGATAAAGGTAAACATGTTGTCTTCCTTTTCTCTGACTTCATAGAAATAATTTGAAACTGTACTCATATGCGTTGACTAAGCTATCAGGCCAATTTTATGTGTTTTTGAAAGGCTAAGTACCTGGTTAGCATAGCACTCTTATTGTCACACTTGCTGTTGTGTGTATACCTCCACATGCTCAAAAGAAAAAAAAAAAAAACAGCTCTTCTCTACTGATATTAAAGCAATAACTCCTGACACCTCACTCTACTCACTGAAAAGAAGATAAAAGGCAATATATATTTCTATTATGACTCTCTATAGCTCAAGAGCAGATCTGTTTATTGTTGGTGAAAGGATAGTTCTGTCTGCATAGATCTTGGCAGACTTGTTTTGTTTCTGTCAGAATACATTCTACTAACTCTATGGGAAGCAGAGGAGCAAATGGCTTTTTCCTTGTAGGACTGACTGGTCCTATGGTCAATTTGAAGGTAGACTTTTCACTGACCTTGGGAGGATTTAATGTTACACAAGGGTTCAGGGACTAAGTCATGGTAATTATCAATTTCTGACTTTCCCTTTTAATGGGCAGTACATAGATAAGAGCAGATTGGGTGAGTTCCTAAACTTTTTCCATATACTAAGAAAGTTAGAGTTTCTTGACAAGTGCAGGTTACAAAGTACTAAATGTTGCCATTGACTAATTCTAAAGGCCCCTGAGCCTGTGGTCATTTAGGAGAGGTAGATGGGCACCTGGGAATGCACTCTCCAGCGGCCTCCCTCTGGTACGTGTTTCTTTTCCTTTGAGTCTAGCAATAATTGGATTATATCTACATAACTTTCCTTTTCTTCTACCAAGGCTATAAAAATGAGTTATAAATCTGTTGACATTCTGTTTTGAAGGGTGTGTAAATACATACTCTTGGAAGAAAGCCAACCGTTGGCAGAATTGATTCAACTAGGATGAGGGATAAAATGTTCCATGTCATTTGAAGACTAACTAGAGGAAATAACTTGATGCCAAGAATTTTGAACTTTTTTGTTCTTGTCAATTAGCCATAAGAAGGTTACATTGTGTCCCATAAAAAAGCAAAAGCCTCATCTCCATGTCTATTTTGATCTCAAATACATTCTATGGATCATAGCAATCCTATGTCAAGAGTAGGAGTCTACTAAACTTTGAATTGTATTCAAAGTTTAGGACAGTTCCCAGATTGTGGAGACTATGGGTGAGAAAGATCAGTCCCAGAAGCCTTAATAGGCAATGTGACTTAGCTAATTTTTTGATGAAGACAATTCCTAAAACTCTGATCTTCAGAAAGGAAAAAAAAGTGGAGAAGACTGGATTTCATATCCACCAGGCTGATCATTCACTTATTTATCTTTGTATGAAATTACATATAGGACATTTTATAAACGAATACTGTGTTCCATCCTTCTTTGCTTTGATAACATTGTGTAAAATAAAGCTATCCTGAAATGAAGATCCTCTAGGGAAAACAAAGTAAGCACGTGAGTCCACAAATATAGATATCTGGCAGTTCAAAAATCCACTAGTTTCTTCTTAAGCACAAGCTAAGGAGTTCATTTCTGGTAGACATTGGTTGGTGTTTAATTCAGATCAAAGTGAAACTATAAAGTCCCAGATCTGTTCTTACCTGTGCATGAAAGTGGATAAATGGTTTTAAGTAGATAGGGCTCCACAGTGCGGTAGCCTCCAGAAAGTAACTGGTGCTTTGATCTTTCTGATACTCCAGTTTGTTAACAATGTGAATGCAGAATTAATTGTGAATGACAAGTAGGTCAATCAGGTCCTGACCTTATATTAAGAATAAGGGACCAGACCATAAAGTGGTGGTTAAGGCATTTGGATTTCACATGGCCAACTGCATGGTTTATAATCCTGGACTCTATGGCCAGGAACATGTACTTATGTGCCCAAAATCCTAAAAGGAGAAAGAAGAAGGATTGCAGTGTGACCATGTGACCATACCCTATGAGGAGTGCTTGCTTGCTTTCTCTCTTTCTCTCTCCCCTGTCTCTCTTCAGTAAGTACATGTGCCCTCTAACAAATTACCAAAATAATAAAAATAAAAATAATTTTGGATGAGAAAAAAATGAATTGGTTCAGTAATACAGAAGTTAAGTGCTATGCAAAGGAAGCTGGATCTCACATGGCCATTGGGGTTGAGGATCTGAATACTAGCCCCAGTGACAAACATACTTGGTGCATGTGTTCCTGCCTAGGATATTGACTGGCTTCACATCAGTTCTCACTGTGAGTCAGTGACTTAGGAATGGCTATGTATTGGGGGTAAGGGTTGGAGTATGGGATGGTGTGTTAGTTCATTATCATGTTGCTGACAGAAATATCTGAGGCTAGGTGATTTATACAGAATAGAAGTTATTTGACTCATGATTATGGTGGCTGGAAAGTCTAAGAGCATGGGGCCAGCATCTGCCTGAACTCTATATCACAACATGGCAGAGAGAGCTGCAAGATTAGTGGGCATAGTCAGAGAAGTAGAGAGAGAAGAGAGAGCGAAAGACCTGTAAGAAAATTTTGCTTTTTTTTTAAGACTCATTTATTTCAAGAACAAGAAAGATAAAGACAGAAACAGTACCTCCAATAGGGTATCACATTGCCATCCAACCCCAGCTTCAGCTAGCCCTAGATCATGGGCACCCATGTGCTGAGCATATTCAGGGAGGTCTCCTAACACAAACTTGGAACATAGTCACGGGGGTGGGGAGCTCACAGAGCACTGTATTCTACTGCTGCACCACTCTCTGTCCCCACCTTTCTGTCTTAAAACAACCCTTTCCTGCATGAACTAAACTCTTCTTCTGAAAGGGAGAATTCACACCCTCTCAGGAGACAGCAGTAATCTATTCACAAGGATGGGGTTGCCATGATCCAAACCCTATCTACTAGGTTCCACCTCCATCACTCTGGGGCCCAAACTTCTAGCATGCAAACCTCTTGGGGATAAGTCATTATCCCAAACATAGGAGGTGATTTGGCTAGATCTCATGCATGAGATGAAAATACAACTGGGCCTTGTAGAATAAGTACAACAGGATAGGTGATGAGAGCAACAAATTCCAGGTTGACCAAATGTCAGTAGCTAAACTGTAAAAGTTAGAGATGATCATTCTTGGAGAGATAGCCACGTCCAAGTAAACGAGAGACAAAGGATTCAGATTTTGAAAGCCTTGGGCTGAAACTCATCCAAATGGAAGAGGACTCGGAGAGAAAAAATTGATTGTGTTCTGTGAGCCTTACTACCATGAGTGGCCAAGCAACTGTACAGCCTCTTCTACTACCATTGATTCCTGTGTTGGTAGGTAACTGTCATAACACTGGTAAGTCATCTTCTAACAGAAAAATTCAACTCATCCTTACTCCTCATTCAAGATAGAAGAGGAAAGTAAGAAACAAAAGTCTTTTGCCACTAACTTTCAGCTACCATGACCAAAATGTTTCCACCAGAAAGGCAATGGCCTGAGGAAAATAGTTTTAAGAATAATGCGTATTCCCTTACCATAGGCCTCTAGCTGGAATTATCAGCAAAGAAAGAGCTCAGTGTGTTCTTTGCAAATCACCATTTGGAATCATTCACAAGCTATTAGCAGGGTACAGATCTTGACCCACCTTCTCTGTGCTGGGTTTCAGTAAAGTCACCTTGACATTGACCAGTGTTACCTGGCACCAGAAAATTGTCAGGAAATCACAATGCACAGCCGAGATTGAAACTATCCTAATAAGTGGCAGAAAGGAAATTCTTAAGACACTTCAAGATTTTATCTTCATCTCAAGCTTCAGAAATTTGAGAATGGAATGTGACTCATTTTCAAAAATTCCAGAAAAAATTTCCAGTTTTTCATGCTTTTTAGCTGTACCTTTATGGAAAGTTTTCTTTTTGATCTTTTGGTTTTATGCTGGTACAGTAAGAAGCACACTTCTGCCTTGGTACCAAAGATTGCAAAACAAAGCAAAG